GAGACTTGTATGTAAATGCTCCATAAATTTAACATTATGAACATTTCATGATGTGAACGTTCACATTAAATAAATTTGACAACGTGCATGTTCAAATTGACAGTGTAAATATTTACATAACGGAATATTCACACTATTAATGTGAACATTAATGCGCGCTTCATCCTATTATTATTAACAATATTTTGGTAAGTATGTTATCCATAGGACTTATTAAAACCTAAGAAAATAATTGAAACTAAGTGAAATATAAGTAGGTAAAAAGGAATTTATGAATATATGCTCCCTTTATAGAAACAATTACACATTAGTAAAGTTTTTACAAAATATTTATCGATTAGTGAAAAAAATTATAAATTTAATTATTAATACTTATAAATTTTAATTGATATGATATTTTTTTTTTAAATACAATAATTCTCCCTATTTTATACCAATCGTAATGGGATGACATTTTGTTTGAACCAAGAAAATCGACGTCGTTTTGAGATTTCGAGCCATTCGCGCCTTTAATATTTCGAGGTACGTAGCATTCTTGTTTTTTATTGTTTCTGTCGAACCATTCTTATGTAAAGAAACACATCGTAATCCGAGAAGTTATATAGGGATAGATTAATCTTATTCTAATAAAAAATTAAATTAATTTTTTAAATTTAGTGATGTGGTAAGAAAAATAATATAAAAGTTCATATTGTAGATTCACTTTATAGAGACTCGACAGCGTGTAAATGAGATGATTGGTGAATGATTTGAGAAGATATGAGAGAGAGATTTGCCTTAAATATTTTAATACATTGTCACATCGTTAGGTTTGAAAAGTTGATCTAATTTTTTGGGTTTGAAGAGCACTATTTATGTGACAATTTATTAGAATATCTAAGACAACTTTTTCTTTTCTAATCATCAGTTAATTATTTCTTGTAAACTTCAATGAATCTATAAAATGGACTTGTATATCATTTTTTATAGGGATAATTTGACTAATTTGAGTATAAAAAAAAATGCAAGATATAATTTTACCAAAGTAAATTGTGTGTTTTACATGACAAAATAGATATATAAAAAGAAAGGTCTGAACATCTCAGGTGATCTTCCAGGGGATTGTTAGCGAGTTCTTTTCCTTCGTTTGTCTTTGGTGGGTGATTCTAGATGAGTTGCCCTTCAAGTTAAAAGATATAGGGAACACTAGAATCAAGTGTGTGAATGAATGTACAATGAATAAATAGTACTGTTACGTTCTTTGAATTTTTATTTTACATGTAAGATATTTATTTTTACTTAAATGCAAAATATTCATTCAGACAATTCAGGCGGAGTGTTTTTGTGTGGATCAAACATTTTCCATAATTAAATAACCAAATTTTAGGGACACTTTCCATAAATAAATAACCAAATTCATTTTAGGGAATTAAACAGTAGCATAACTTGTTTATAACTCACATTCCATACATACCTGTAACCTGAAGCGATTTCTTCGCGATCGAAGAGATCGTATGCCATACCGAAATAATCTGGGAACATTTCCGATAACTCTTTCTCTACATCTTCCTCCGTTTTCTTACTCTCTTTCTACGAATTACAAACCCAGACAAAATCAACTTCTTTTCTTTTTTTTTTCTCAATTATCAAAATCTCATTTTGATTATTTCACTCTCAATTGTGAATTTTAAGTTAATTTGCAATACGCTTCGGTCTATTTACCATCAATGATGCTTACGAAAATTTAAAATTCAAAGACCAAAGTAAGATATTGGTGAAAATATAAGAACCAAATTGAGTTTTTAATAAAAATATGAAAATTGTTTGCAGAACGACTATATGATAAGTTCTATCAATTTTATTGATTTTAAATGGACAAATTATTAATATTGTAATTTGACCTACTGTATAAATAATTAATTATCACAATTGAAAGTGGAGGCAAAATGAGATTTTGGTGAAACTATTAGAATATTTAATTTAATCAATGTTGTATAGAGTTTAATAGAGCCTATTACTCACACATTGTTGATACATGAAAATGTAAATAAATACGTTTAAAAAAAAGGTGAAATTATTGTTTCATATGAGTTTATTACACAAAGACGTCTTTAATTATTACCAAATATCACTTTACTCATTTAATCTATGAAATTGTACATCTTGATCTCTTTAACTATAAAAATATATTAGTTTTGCCATCTTCAAACCACTTCTAAAAAAGGTGAATTTGTACAATATTTATAATTGAGAGTATCAATATGTATGGATTGATAAATGAATGAATAAAATAATATTCGTTAATAGTTGAAGGGATATTGCGTAATTAACTATTTCAACAAACTAACCCTTGAACGTAAACTTACATTGATGTGGACAATAGCATGCCTCACAACTTTGAAGGCATGCCAGTAACTTAGATCAGGTGGACTTTCGCCAGTTGGACCACGTCGTCTTTTGTTTTCAGCTTTTTTCTTTTCTTCTTTCTTTTCTTCTTCAAAACTTATAATCTTTTCGTAGTACTTTTGACCTTTAACGTCTTTAATCCAATCATAACAATACGACTTTTTTGTTTCTTCATTCAAAACATCTCTAAAACAATCCCCAGCTTTTTTGGCCTTTTCATGACCAGGATACATTGCTAGAGTATCCATACTAACCGGTTGAAAGAACCTTTCCATTGGAGCCATTAAAATGGGATGAAAGTACAATTTTGACAGACCCCGCCTGTATATACATTAAACCCATGTAAGTAAACACAATTATAGCACTAATAAAAAAAATACAAAGACAATGAAATTTGTATTTTTATCATTCATAGTCATTTTTAATAAAATTTGTATTTTTGGAATTTACTTGTGTAGATCTATAAAACAAAGACAATATTGGATATGAAATTACGTTAAAAAAAATAACAAATGAAATTTTCTCTATTTTTAATTTGAGTAATTGAGAAATTTTGTAGTTGTTGTGAAGAAACTATGAAAGTCCGCTCATTTGATAAATTTATCTAATTTTTATTAGAAAAATGTTTGGAAGTTATAATTGAGTACCTCCAAATCCACCTCTAATGACATGGAGTAGACTATGTGAAGGTGGATCCACACTTCATTCTTTATTTCTCTATACTCTCTCTCTCTCTCTCTCTCTCTCTCTCTGATCTCGTTAAAAGTCAAAATGGAGGTGGTGTATTAGAGGATGTGACATCACTCTTTTTATTAACCGTGAAAATTTCTATGTTTGAGAAATTAATATGAAAAATTATGTAATTGAGAAATTTCTTAGTTAGCAATGAAATTTCTTAGTTAAAAAGTGAAAATTTTCAGATTTTTTCGATTAAATTTAAAAAATATTAATTTTCTTAAAATGAATTTACTATACAAAAATATGAAATTTTAAAGTTTTGAATTAAAAAACATTACTGCCTCCAAATTGCTTATATACCTAATAACAGAAGTTGTATCAATCAAATGGTGATTCAATATACTTAGTAGATTAATAAAAATTTTATCGGATTTAATCTAATAAAATGATAGATAATAGCACCAATAAGAAAAATTAAAAATACACAAATTAGAGATAAAAATGAGATTATATAGAGCATTGCTCATAAAAAAAACTGACCATAAAAGGGAGAGGAAAAATGGAGATAGAAGTATAGAACTCTTACGCATTGTTGACTTTAGCGCTCTCATAAAAATGTTTCAATTCGACATGGTTCTCACGACGACCAATCACCTTCTCAAACAGAATCTTCAGATCGTTAAAATCCTGATATAAATTATTTTTGTGGGTTTCACACTCATTGTCACCCTCTAAAGGAGGACGAAACTCATTTCTTATGAAGGCAAATTTAGGCTTGCCATTCACAATCAAAATGTCTTTGATTGACAGACGTCCATGAGTGTGTCTTTGGCCATGAAGTTCACACATGCCAATTATAATGCCCCTGCAATAACATTTTATTAGTTTGTCATCTTCTAAATAAATGTACTTATTTAGGTAAATACACTTCTTTGGATCACATCATTTTTTATTTTTTTACACATATTTTCGTGAAAAATTAAAAAGTACACCTATTTAGATCATCTCATTAACTAGCTACTGCTACTACTATTACAACTGTTGTTGTTATTATTATTATTATTATTATTATTATCTCCTATTGATTGTTAAAAAGAAAAAAAAAATCAATTATTAACTAAAAAACTCATTTTATAGAAATATATTTAACTCATTTGACAGACCCCACTTTCTCTCACAATGTGAACTTCAGCCACTTCAAAAAAAAAAAAATGTTTAAAAAGCCAAAAATGTTAAGCATATGCCAAAAAGAACTACTTTTCTACTTCTTTTTCTTTTTTTTTTTTATATATTTTAATATTAACTTTTTTTTGTTGCCTTATTTTTAGCCAATAATTAAGGTACTGTTTGGTTTAGTTTTAGAACCATAATTTGATAATAGAGTTATATTTTGAGTTTGTGAGTTGTTAAATTATGATTTAAAAAGAAAAAAATTGTTAGTTATGAGTTTTGAATTGAATTTTGAATTTTTAAAATGACTTTTGAAATAAGAAAAATTGTTTGGTCATGAGTTTTGAAAAAAAAATTCAAAACTTATAACTCATTACTAAGCACACAACTCAAAACTCTAAAAATTTTTTATTCAAAACTCATAATCAAACTCTTTTTAAAATTCAATTCAAAAAAACAATTATTGAATTTTTTTTTTAAAAAAATCAAAAAATTCCTAAAATATTTTTTTATTTAAAATATTAAAAAATATATACTATTTTTTCTTAAAAAAAATATTCAGCTAGTACTTTAAAATTACTTTTGACTGTATATTTGATTGGAATTTTTTTTAATTGTTTTGTTTAAAAATATATATTTTTATTTTTCAAAAAATACTGTGACAACCAGTAAGATATGTAGTGATTTCCCTTTTAAGCCCTCTATCATTAAATAAGTTCAACCCTTTTTATCTAGCTAGATTTTTAGTTACACAATCCTATTTTAAATCATTCTTATTTTTAAATCTCAAAAATGACCTCTCAACCGTCAGATCTTGTATTCTAACCCACCCATCCCGAATAGACCGTTCAGGTGAACGCCTTATTCTGTACGAACCATCAACTTTTATTGGACCACTCTACAAATCAGAATATATATATATATATAATCAAAACCTCAAAACATAGAAAAATCTCAATTATAAAAAATAAAAAATAAAAAATTCAATTTTCATAAAAAAATATTTAAATTTTCAGTTTTAACTTCAATTAAGGGGGCTCACTTCTGGTGTAGATTTCGTAACACACATGCACAACCATTAGTCTACATATATATGAGCAATATATATATACATATATAACATATGCAAGAGGATTTTAAATGTTGGTGTGGGGTGGGGGATGGCACCCTAAGCCATATGGTAATTCTATTACTGTGATTGTCACATAATTTTTTTATTAACTTATCTAAAATTTGTATCTGTAAACTGATTTTTATGTTTATAAAATTAAACGGAGCTGACATAATAAAATTAATATCATTTTAAAGATAGAATTTGTAGTGATGAAATACTCTACTTTTGGGACCAAAATTTTTGTCTAAAAAAAGAAAACATTTTTTTGCATCAAATTTTTGTTTCTAAAAGTACATTTATTAGTGACTTTTTTAAAAATTTATCGCTAAATTTTTTTTAAAGCTGCGACTTTTTAACAACTATCGGAATTGATTTCCAAATATTTTTTTATAACAAAATTTGGTTCCTTAAAAAACCCTTATATATTGTGGTGGTGTGGTTCAGATTGATTTACAATTCAAGAGTTAAATCTGTATCATGCATTAAGTTTCTGGGTAAAATTCCAGACTTCTATTTTGTGTACTTAGCTTTTCTATGCGCAAAAAAAAAAAATACCCTTTAAAACGTCAATCATTTTTCTGGTTGATTGATTTTTTTCCAATGAAAATAGTAAATGTGTAACATATATCCCGAGCAAAAAAATGTAACATATATCAATGGGAGTCAAGTGATGATCCACCAGAACTATTGTACTTTATTAAGATGTTAAGAATTTAACTCACTACTTGTGTCAAAGTTTATTTTCTTAATTTTATTTGAAGTCCCTCTTTCCTCTTTGGGAGTTTATATATAGTTATAATTTATACCCTAATTGGCTATTGATTCAATTTCATTGAATTTTTGACCTACATTGTAATAAAAAAATAAATAAAAACATACCTAATGCGTTTTTATTTTTGGAAATTTTACACATTTCCTAGCAATAGGTTTACCTTTCTAATCAAGACAGGCAAAAAAATTATAACCAAATGAAACAAACCTTGCTAAAATAAATAAATAACAAACAAACAAACCAACAAAGAAATAAACAAACCCGTATGTCTCCATTTCCAGCCATCTATATTCCCCTGCAAGAAACATGTTACATTCTCAATACACCCCCCACTATAGGAAGCCAACTATACTACAAATTAAAAAAAATAAAATAAAATTTAAAAAAATACTTACAAAAAAAACATTTATACATTACAATATGAGCCTAAAAAAGTATCCAAGAAAAATCTAGAAAAATACACATAAACTTTAAGATATCTTTTCATAATCCATAAGTATTTCTGATAGAAAGCATAGAGGAAAGCATGGTACACTCTCATAATCACAGATTCGAGTTAAAATTCAGCACAAGACCCCAAGTTACAAATTATAATGAAAATTTCATAATAATGCAAAAAATTATGACATTTCATTAAAATTTTAAATTAATGATTTATAATTATTGTGTCATTTGGAATTTTAAAATATCACTTAATTGCTTTTTTTATTAAATAAAAATATAAATATTTTGAGGTCACTATTTCGCTAACATCTTACCTTGCTCTTCGACGTCTTTACTTTTAGGCCCCGTTTGTTTGGGGTTATAGAGAGGGGATTGGGTTTGGTAGTGAGGGGGAGATTGAGAATGGGGTGTTTGTTTTGAGAGATAGGAAGGGGATTAGTAATCTCTTGGTATTAGTAAGGTGGAGGAAAAGGGATCGGTAAGGAGGAGGTAGAGATGGTATTAGAAAAATAGTGAGGGGATTAAAAAAAAAAATTATTTTTTTATTTTTTATAAATTGGGAATTTTTTTTGAAATATAATGTTTAATTTGTTATATTTTTTTATTTGTTTTATTATTTTATATAAAAATAATTTAACAATTCCTCACTAACAATCCCCTCACTATGAATCCCCTCCATTCTATCTCTAAAAACAAACGGGGTTCAAGATGTAAGTTGGTGGATAAAATTCAACTGATACAACAAAGAGCGGCGAAGAGAAAGAGAGAATATCAAGACACTCACCTGTTAACTGTTTTCTTTTTCTTTTTCTTTTTTCCTTTTCTATGTGGATGTTGAAGCGCGGAGAGACTCAGCAGAGATAACCCAATACGAACTGGTTGATGGAGAGGAAACAAGAGGGAGCATATAAAAGGAGAGAGAGAGAGGGGGAGAGATATGGGAGAAGAAAAAGTAAGCGAATAAGGCAGACACTTGGGTTTTACGAGTGCACATCTGAAAATTAGCATTTTAATGGGAATAATTTAAAATTAAATATAATTTTTATGGAGGTATAAATAAGTCACTGTCTTATATAAATAAAAATTATAGTAGCGTTTGGTAGAGTTTTTTAAGTATGATTTGAAAATTATAGTTGTATTTTGAATTTGTGAGTTTTGGAATTATGATTTGAGTATGAAAAATTTGTTTGGTGAATGAGTTTTGAATTGAGTGGGAAATTTTTGATGTAACATATGATATTTGATACAAAAACCTTTTTTTTATCGGCAAAGAAAAAACTTTATTGATGAAATAACACATACAAAGTATGATAAATTACATCAATAACACATTTGATATAAAAACTTACAACTCATAACCAAACACACAACTTAAAATTCTATTCAAAACTCATAATTTTTTTTTTTAAAAATATAAAAAATATGAAGGGCCAATTGTAAAAATCAAAAAATAAAAAAATTTGCACTGTTCTGGTCAATCAGCCGAACATTCGAGGGACGACTGGTTGACCCAAATTTTCTTAAATGAATATAAAATTAATTTTTAAAAACGATAATCAAACCCTAGGTGCAAATCAAGAGGTAAAATTATATATTTTCAAAACTCTTCCAAATAAGGCTTATGAATTTTCGATATAATTTCCACTTACAATTTCCACTTACAACGATTGATTTAAGTTGTTTGGACTCAAGTACAAGCTCCTTTAAAACAAACGATTGATTCCCATATACAAAAGGGCTTGGCTTCTGTCCCGTCTTTAATCGGACTGGATCGTGCTGTTGGGTCTATGGAGGCCCACCACGGGTCCCGTTTTGATAATCTGAACCGTTCAATGTGTAGAACTCGTCGAGTACTATAAGGCTGTAAAAAATCACGTTAATCAGATATCGGTAGCTATGTGATCAAATCAGTTTTGCATAAAAAAAATAGAATTCGTCAAGTACTATATGCCTATAAAAAATCACATTAATTGGATATCGATAGCTATGTGATCAAATTAGTTTTGTATAAAAAAAATAGACAATGAAAAAATTAACGGTTGATAAAAAACTGTTTTGTTCACATAACTATCGATATCCGATCAACGTGATTTTTTACAGGCATATAGTCCTCGACGAGTTTTACACATTGAACGGTTCAGATTATCAAAATAGAACCCGTGGTGGGCTCCCACAAGCCCAACAGCACGGTCTAATCCGATTAAGAACTGGACAAAAGCCAACGCCTATAGAAAATATATCCGGTTCACATTTTGATGGGATACTCTGCCATCAAATTGTCACTCTATAGGCCGAGCTTATAAGTTGTTTATTTTAATTTTTAATTTAATTTAAGTTAAAATATTATATTTAATACAATTTAAGTTAATCAGTTTATAACTTAAATCAAGTTATTTCTCAGCTTATCTCAAAAGCTGGTCAGGGAGTACTTAAATTTTTAACTTAAGCACGCTGCTGGTGTGGGGTGCTAAAATTACTTAAATGCCCTCTTTAATACCTAAATATTAATATTAATTAAAAAATAAAATTTTTTATATTTCTGAAGAAAAATAAAAAAATCAATATTAATTAAAAAATAAATGTTAATTGGTATTAATTATTAATAAATTCATATTGTATATTTTTATATTAATTAAAAATAAAAAATTGTATATTTCTGAAGAAAAAGAAAAAAAATCAATATTAATTAAAAAAATAAATATTAATTGGTATTAATTATTAATAAATTAATATTGTATACTTTTGTAATGAATTAATTATTAATTGATTATTAATATTAATCAATATTAATTATACTTTTGTAATGAATTAATAAATTAATATTGTATACTTTTGTTGATTATTAATATTAATTGATACTAATAAAAATTAAATATTAATATTAATTTATACAATTTAATAATTTTAGTATTAATTGAGACTAATTAAGCCATTAATTGATACTAATTAATAATTTTAATATTAATTGATACTAATTAAGTAATTAATTGATACTAATTAATTTATAATAGAAAATAATTGTGACAATAATACTTCCATTACATTTTTAGCAAATGTATCAATTTTTATATTAATTGATACTAATTATATTAATTTTTGTTAATGAAATATTTTTTTTTTAAAATTAAAATTGAAAAAATGACAAAATAATCATTTTTACATTATATAAGGGCAAAAAGGACAATTATACAGTAAAAAGTTATTTTACAGTTTATTAACCAAACACTACTCTGCTACTTAACTCCATAGTCCCGCAGCTGCACCAAATAGGTTAACAGCTTATGTTCACAGCTATAAGCCATAATCTGTTAAGGTATAATCTATAATTACTTTTTCACAACTTTACCAAACGGGGCCTATATGTGCAAGTAAGATTTTTTTTTTTTTTTTTTTTTTTACGTCCGGGCGGTCGTCCGGCCGGTTGACCAGAATAGTGATTTTTTTTTTTTAATTATAAATTTTATGAGTTCAAATTTGGACTCAAGTACAGACTCTACCTTTTTCTTTTTCTTTTTATTTAATGTTCAAATTTTGAGCGGGAGCCTTTATTGATACAATTTTTCCTTTCTATAGTAAAATTTTCTCAATTTATGATATATTCAAAATTAAAAAGTTCGAATTTTAAAAAACATTCAACTTTTTGATAGTGGTGGATTTCCAAAACCTCCCATTGTTGGTGTTATTAGTTACAGTGGTGGCGTTCAAAAACTTCCCTTTTTTGGTGGTGGTTGTCATAGTTGTTGGTTGTGGTCACTACAAGAAAATACAGATTTCGCGACGAAAATAAATTTTTTCGTCGTTGAAAGTAGTACAAATGGCGACTAAAATGGATTTAGTCGTCAAAATTGGTGACTTTTGCCGACTAAAAGAGTTTAGTCGCCGAATACAAGTCTTTTAGCGACTAAAAGGCAGTTTAGTCGCCCAATGTGGGGGTTTTAGCGACTGAAGGTTGTTTAGTAGCCAAAAGTGACAGTTTTTGGCGACTAAAATAATTTAGTAGCCAAAAGTGATGGTTTTGGCAACTAAAAACAGATTAGTCGCCGATTGTTGGTGTTTTGTTGACTAAAAACAGTTTAGTCGCTGAAAGTGAAGCTTTTTGGCTACCAAAAAAAAAATAGTAGCTAAAAACAGTCCATTGCCAACTAAAATTCAGTTTAGTAGCCAAAAGGGGACGTTTTTGGCGACTAAAAACAGGTTTAGTCGCCAAAACTACTTATTTTTAGGCGAAACTTAATTTTTTTGCAACTAAATTATAATTAGTAGCCGAAAATGATAGAATTGGCGACTAAAAATTTAATTTAGTCGCCAAAAGTGGCCTAAATTTTTTTTTAGTAAATAATTTATTTTTTACATAAAGTATATTGAATTAAAAAAATTATATTTATATATATTATTTTGTATTAATAGCGCATAGAACATGTAAGAAATTACTAATTTTAGTATTTATATATGTAAATAAATTTTGTGTTGGTACAAGCTAAAAAATCTAAACAATTTTTTTTTTTTTTTTTTTTTTTTTTTTTTTTTTTTAAATATGCTTTTGGCGACTAAAAGAGGTGGTCGCCAAAAGCTTCAGTATTGGCGACGAAAAAAATAGTCGGGAAATGTATAAATTAAAAAAAAAAATTTACTATTGGCGACTAAAAATTTAGTCGCCAAATGTATAATTTAAAAAAAATAAAGGAGCTTTGGCGACGAAATTTGTGGTCGCTACAGAGTTTGTTTTGGGCGACTAAAAGTGGGTTAGTCGCCAATACCTTCCTCGACGTTTTTCCAACGACCAACATGGCGACTAAAAAATTTAGTCGGGAAAACCTAAAACCCGACTTTTGGCTACTAAAAAATCACTTTTGGCAACTAAATATTTAGTCGCCAAAAGTGATTTTTCTTGTAGTGGGTTGTGGTTGTGGTTGCAACCGAAACGATGGTTGCGGCATTGTGGATAGTGATGGAGGTTGTAGCAATGACAGTGTTAGTAATGGCGGCGGCAGTAGAGGTGAAATTTCTTTGTTCAAACTTGAAATGATTGTTTTTTTTGTTTTTTTTTTGGGGTGGGTAGTTGAAATGATTGTTATTTTCATTTGTCTATGTTGGATGAGTTTTTTTCTCCCACATATTTTTCAAGACCTAGACAATGCCCACATTAATTTTGCAAAAATACATTGTTTAGCACTCAATTTATAAATAGAATTTAAAAGATTGTTTTAGCTCCAACAAAAAAAATTTATCTATTGAAGACTTCTTGGGTGGTTTTGGTTGGAAGTAGTTGGTGTTTGGTTTCTTTCAAAACATATTTAACTAACAAAGAAATTTCTCTATTTCATAAAATAATTTTTATGTAATATTTTTATTTTCTATTTGACACAAATATATATATATATATATATTAGCTGCAATAAAGAATAAAATAACAGACCCAAATATCGGGCCTCTAGATTTGCCCAAGTCCGGTCCAAAAAATAATTATAAATCTTAAGACCAATTATTAGATTATATAATTTTAAAACTGTCACAGTTATTTATAATTTTTTTATTTAAAAAAATGGTCTTGAACCATTCACTCAAGATTCTATGCTAACCTTAATTTTCTCCACTAGTCATAACTGGGAAGTCATTAACTCGGAAGTCATTAAAAATGATTAATTCTATCCTTAATTTTCTAGACTTGTTGTAGCCCATAAGTAATTTATAATAATTAAAATACTTACTCCACTTCTTGTAACCCAAAAACAAAAACAAACCCGGAATGTAACTATAAGATGACCCTTCACCAGTTGTATATCATTTTTGCAGTTTTTATTGCTAAACAAAGACTAGGAATCTCATATATTCAACCCCCACCCCAAACCAGAATAAGAATAACTTGTTACCAAAGGGCAATAATAAACTGAATTGAGTATACACTTGTTTATAGTTTAATTAATTGAGAATACAATTACATAGCTTGACTCAATAATCTTG